TATTGTGTTATGTTGTATATTATGTTATATATGCTGTATGTTATTCTTTATTCAAGGCTAGGTTTAAAACAGTCCTCTTTAGTTTAGCATATGGCTAGGAAGGTAAGACTCGGAGAAGGTTAAACTCCTCAGAGTGTCAGTCAAGCTGCATAGGGAGTCAGTTTGCTGGGAGAAGTATGGTAACTTGAGCACTATCCTCTCCTCCTTCCTACTTTATCTGTTTAGCATTTTTAGGATTCTGACTGTAGTTTGTTCATTGCTATTCACCCGTTGTCCCATTGTCTGTTTCATGGTACGATGACGGGATCTCTGAGCCTGGCCTCCTCCATCTACACCTGCGGACTGCCCCGCCCGACCCGCCTGGGAGTGCTTCAGTCCTGCACCGGACCTGTCCACGTTCAGCGGCCACTGGTCCACGTTCTGTAGCTAGCTTAGGTCCTAGATCATTAGCCTGTCCGTCCGGAGGAGCGGATCCCTTTCTCATATGGGTCTCCCTCCCTGTGGGTTTCCCTAGTGCTCCCCAAGGTTTCTCACTTTTTCCCACTGGGTTTTTTAAGAGTTTTTCCTTGTCGATGCAGGAGGGTCTTGTTGGACAGTTAGTGTCCAACAGAAAGGATTGGTGATGATCAGGACACTTTAGCATTCTACAACATGTATGGACATTTTCTTCTGTGTGTGCTTTATATTCTTCATGTGTTTTAACTGTTGATTCTCTGACCTGTGTTGGTGATTTCAATGGTTTTGTTAAGTCCTCTGAGATGACTTCTGTTGTGACCTAGGGCTATACAAGAATAAATTGCATTGTGTATTGTATTGTATTGTAACTAGAAGCATCCAAAAATATTTTCAAATGACACTTATCTGCTTTTGCAAATAAGCTCTTCAAGAAATGCATAATCTTTCTTGTTTGCATCACCTGCTGAGCATGAGGTCTGTGGTGCACAGGATCTATTATAGGCACTATCTGGCGTTTACTCAATCTTCCTAAATCACTGACAGTCTGTTCCTTCACCTGTATTGTCTCTAACAAATTTTTAAATGCTTGGCTTTATCTTTTAGTGCATGCACCATCTTCTAGGATTCAGTTTAATTTGCAATGGTGTTGAAATTAATCTGTTTTGTTAAATATAGACTCAAAAGCCTACACTAGACTCATTGAGACAGTCTTCACCAACAATGTTATTAAAGACATAAGACAGCTGTCTCCCAATAGTGTCACATCAGGTGTCGAATCCTTTCACTCACTCCTCAATCACTTTGCCCCAAAGATGCTTCATTTCAGCTACCATGGTATTGAGGCAAGGTAAGCATTTATCTCCGTATTTTATTTTTTTTTACCTATCATTATTTATTGTAATGAAAGCCCTTTTCTACCTCTTTTCATAGATATCGTCTGCATTTTTTGCACCACAATGAAAATGCAAACAGAAGTCAGGAAAAAACTAAGGATGGACAGGATAGATACAATTTGGTTTATCCTAAATTCAAGAAAGGGAGCCACACTCTATGCAAAATATTTGAGGGAGCCACTTACAGTAAGTTTTCAGCATTAACATTTACATCTAATACTTTACAACTCATTGTTGTTTGTATTCATGAAAGTTGTTATTTTACTTATAGACTACATTGATCCGTTGATGGCCTGTGTATGTAAGCGTCTACTGGCTGGCGAGAAGTACTTGGCTGAGAAGTCAAAACCACCACCCCGGACCAGTCAATGCAATAAAGTCACAAAGGAAGATGCTATAAGACAGCACAAAACAAGATTCAAACTTAATTGAACATTGTGCAATAATAACACACTGATCTGAGTGAACAATACATCTTTAATTGTAATAAAACAAATGTTTATACAACTGAAACATTTCCTATTTATTTAGTTACTATTCTAACTAATTTAAGGTTGGTAATTTAAAGCCCCTATATGTGCCACCTGCATCAGGATAAGTATCTCTTATTCGGACCAGAACACACGAGGGTAATGGCACCCTTTTCTTTTTCCCCAAAGTCCCGTAGCACCACTGGACAAATCTCCGATATCCTGTGTATCTGAATTTCCTGAAATTGAAAATGAATCCTCTATTAGCCAAAAGTCATTTGTAGAATTTTTTGTAAAATCTCAATTGCTTCCTTACGCTTCATTTGACAGATCGGGTTCTATGTACCCATCAGCTTTCAGGTACATATATGCCATCTCCAGTGACCACGGGTCTAAGCAAATGGACTCAAACCCCTCATGCTCTGTGATGCAGGATACGTCCTGTCCATTTTCTGAATTGTATTCCTCCATCCTTGCAAAAACTGCGTTTTTCTCCTGACAGCAATAACACTCTTCAACCTGAGACATGATTGCACATTTTTCACACTGACACCTGTAAATTAAATCAATAGATAGTTTATCTATATGACTTATATTCTATGTTAACATGAAATTTATATCAAGCTTGATGTAGCCTAATGTTTCAATCATTTATATCATCATCATTATAAAATATAAAAACAAACATTTGAATTCTGGCATAAGACCTTTACACAGTCCATAAAAATAGGAGTTTTTCAATCTCACCAGTTTTTGTTTCCCACTCTGTGAATTTCCTCATTTTCTGAATCTGTCTCTCCTTCATTATTCCCATCGAGGGGCTGTGGTGTTGCTAGTGGCTCAAATGAGTAAGGATCAAGCTGTTGAAAATGTTCACAATCAGATCCAAATTCAGGATCACTTCGGTCATCAGAAACAGGACTGTGGCCACTTCCTACAGAGTCAAAACAAAAATGTCATAGTAATGATTGCAATAAGTGACAATAACGTGCTGTACAATAAAAATAAGTTGAATAAAATAAATATTGTACTTTTATGAACATACTATATGAACAAAAAGCTGCTGAAGTTGTAAAAAGACAAAAGAGCTAACATGATAACTACATGTGATGCAATCATTGTTTTTTTGTATTTTATTAAACCGTTATTAGGATTTAGCATTTATGGATATTACAATGTACATTGTGGTAAATAAATCTAAGGTAACCAAAGTGAGACTGGCATAATGTAAAAACGAATATTAGCCTTGTTAGCATGTTTTAGGATATCTTGAACGTTAGCTAACTTGCCCAACACTAGGGACCATTAGGCCAAGTTATTAGCTTGAATCTCACAAATAAGGCTAAAGGTTAAAAGAGTTGCACACTATTATGTACAAAACTGATGAAAATATGTTTATACCTTGTTCAGATGACAGTGAAACCTCCGAGTCTTCCCCAAATTCAACATCAATTAACTCGCTGTTCCTACAGATTCCAGTCATGACGGCTGTGAGATCCCCTTCTCCTACGTCATCGCCGCCATTTTGGCCCCCCCTAGCGTTTCAATGCGGAAGTGAAAAAGTGCAACTTGGAAGCCGTTTTTTAAACAGAATTCATCTGAACATGTCAAAATGAACACCCGAAATATTACAAACACATATAGTAGTTATATATTCTGGATAGCAGAAACTTAAATTCTAGTTAAGCTACTTTAAGCTTGGATCTGAAATCTACCATAATGGGAAATCTATCACTTACTGTTTCCGTAAAACTGAATCTCAACCATTCGTTAGAGGCCTATAATGGAAAAAAACTAGGGCTTCAAAAAAACACAGCAAGAAAAACAAATTATTCGAAGACGCTTTACAAAACACATAAAAATCAAGTTTCTGATGGGTTGATGGAGTGAGTTCAGAGAGTGGGAGGCTCAATCTTCTTTCTTCAAGAAGTGGACATTAAAGCGTAAAGAATGTGTAAAAGAGAGCAACAGGACTCTCACGTAAAATACTCAGGGAGAAAACTCTTTCTTTTTTAATTTGAGATGTACCAAAGTTTAGGGATTTTAAATGGTTTGGTTTTTGTGTTTTTTGTCTGCCTCCCCCCAATTAATAAATATTCTAATTCTCTGAGATGTTTAATTTTGGGTTTTTACAGCTGTGAAGCCAATTATCAACATTATAACTAATACAAACCGGATGAATTTCTCTCTGTTGTAATGAGTCGTATAATATTTTCACATTTTAAGTTGAATTACATTAAATGGACTTTTGAACGATCTCCGGACGAACTCGAAACCAGCTGCAGTAGATTCAAAACGCAACGGGTCGAGTCCTGACTAGAACCAGGAAGTACTGTCACATTAGTCCTGCAGGTCTAAGGTCTTTGCTTCCTGTGGCTCAGAGAATAGACTTTAAAGCAGCTCTGTTTGTCTCCATGGCCTCCAACCAAAGTACATCTGTGATATGTTAGTGTCATATGAACCAACTCTGAGGAGCACAGGGACTGGCCTCCTGCTGGGACTCTGAGGAGCACAGGGACTGGCCTCCTGCTGGGACTCTGAGGAGCACAGGGACTGGCCTCCTGCTGGGACTCTGAGGAGCACAGGGACTGGCCTCCTGCTGGGACTCTGAGGAGCACAGGGACTGGCCTCCTGCTGGGACTCGGAGCACAGGGACTGGCCTCCTGCTGGGACTCTGAGGAGCACAGGGACTGGCCTCCTGCTGGGACTCTGAGGAGCACAGGGACTGGCCTCCTGCTGGTCCCAGAGTCAGGACTAAACATGAAGAGGCAGCGTTTCAGATGTACGCAGCTAAAACAAGCTTCTATCTGACAATGGTTAAAAACAGTTCTGCTTAGCTTCAACAACTGAAGGATTGTATCTTCACTCTTTTTGTGCTGTGATTATTTATTTTTTAATGCCTAGTGTGATTGCTCTTTGCTTTGTTCAGCACTTTGAGTGAACTGTGCCATACATATAAACGTGCCTTGCCATTCTTAGTTAGTCTGAGTTTAACCTGATCATACTGCATGTGCAGGAGGAGGCCATTACAGCCATGAAGCTTTGTAAATACTGGGAACTAGTGTGTTGATGTAATTGACATGTCTGTGAGGGTTGTTATGATGCTCTTGGCCAGAACAGCTTGGGAAAACAGATAAAGGTCAACCCAAAGTGATATAAAATGAATGAGATGAAACCGTACGGAGCAGGTGCAGTTCCGGCAGCCGTCGGTCCAGCCCTCGTCCTCTCTGTAGACCGAGCCCTTCACGCTGCACGTCCTCTCACAGTAACAACCGTCCAGACCGTTCATCTTCTCCTCCGCTCGAGACAACTGTCACAGAGACACAGACCGGTCAGATACAAGGACACAGAGACATACACAGAGACAGACACAGAGAGAGAGACAGAGACAGACACAGAGACTGACACAGACACAGAGACAGACACAGAGACTGACACAGAGACTGACACTGAGACACAGAGACTGACACAGAGACAGACACAGAGACTGACACAGAGACTGACACAGAGACTGACACAGAGACTGACACAGAGACAGACACAGAGACTGACACAGAGACTGACACAGACACAGAGACAGAGACAGACACAGATACAGACACAGAGACAGAGACAGAGACAGACACAGAGAGAGACACAGAGTCAGACACAGAGTCAGATACAGAGAGAGACACAGAGAGAGAGACAGACACAGAGAGTGACACAGAGACAGACACAGAGAGAGAGACAGAGTCAGACACAGAGACAGAGATAGACACAGACACAGAGACAGACACAGAGAGAGAGAGAGAGACAGACACAGAGTCAGACACAGAGACAGAGACAGACACAGAGTCAGACACAGAGAGAGACAGAGACAGACACAGAGTCAGACACAGAGACAGAGACAGACACAGAGTCAGAGACAGAGACAGAGACAGACACAGAGAGAGACACAGAGTCAGACACAGAGTCAGACACAGAGACAGACACAGAGATACAAGGACATGAGACAAACACAGAGATACAAGGACATGAGACAAACACAGAAACAGAGACACAGAGGAGTCAGATAAAAGGAATAAGAGACAGATAGACAGAGAGACAAAGACATAAAAAGACACAGAGATAAAGTCAGATACGAGACAGACCTCTGTGTATGTGAACGAAATCCCACTGAACTTTAGCCCCATTTCCACCAGTCCTACTCTACTCCACTTGGCCTGGTTGTGTTTCCGTTACCCTAACGCTTTAGTATTGGGAATCATATCTTAAAAATACACCCACAACAAACCAGTATCTTTGGAAATCCCTTGGTAACCATGGCTTCCAGCAGCACTGGAAGTGTAGGGCAGAGTAGAGTAGAGTAGAGTAGGGCAGAGTAGAGTAGAGTAGAATAGAGCAGAGTAGAGCAGAGTAGAAAAGAGTAGAGCAGAGTAGAGTAGAGCAGAGTAGTGTAGAGTAGAGTAGAGTAGAGCAGAGTAGAAAAGAGTAGAGCAGAGTAGAGTAGAGTAGAATAGAGCAGAGTAGAGTAGAGTAGAGTAGAGCAGAGTAGTGTAGAGTAGAGTAGAGCAGAGTATAGTAGAGCAGAGTATAGTAGAGTAGAGCAGAGCAGAGTATAAAAGAGCAGAGTAGAGCATAGTAGAGTAGAGTAGAGTAGAGTAGAGTAGAGCAGAGCAGAGTAGAGCAGAGTAGAGTAGAGCAGAGCAGAGTGGTGTAGAGTAGAGTAGAGTAGAGCAGGATAGTGTAGAGTAGAGTAGTGTAGAGTAGAGCAGAGTAGTGTAGAGTAGAGTAGAGTAGTGTAGAGTAGAGTAGAGTAGAGTAGTGTAGAGTAGAGTAGAGTAGAGCAGAGCAGAGCAGAGTAGAGTAGAGTAGAGTAGAGTAGAGTAGAGCAGAGCAGAGCAGTGTAGAGTAGAGTAGAGTAGAGTAGAGTAGAGTAGAGTAGAGCAGAGCAGAGCAGAGCAGAGCAGAGCAGAGTAGAGTAGAGTAGAGTAGAGTAGAGTAGAGTAGAGCAGAGTAGAGTAGAGTAGAGCAGGGTAGTGTAGAGTAGAGCAGAGTAGAGTAGAGTAGAGCAGAGTAGAGTAGAGTAGAAAAGAGTAGAGCAGAGTAGAGTAGCGTAGAGTAGAGCAGAGTAGTGTAGAGTAGAGTAGAGTAGAGTAGGGTAGAGTAGAGTAGAGTAGAGTAGAGCAGAGTAGTGTAGAGTAGAGTAGACTAGAGCAGAGTAGAGTAGAGTAGGGTAAAGTAGAGTAGGGTAGAGTAGAGCAGAGTAGAGCAGAGTAGTGTAGAGTAGAGTAGAGTAGAGTAGAGTAGAGTATAGTAGAGTAGAGTAGGGTAAAGTAGAGTAGGGTAGAGTAGAGTAGAGTAGAGTATAGTATAGTAGAGTAGGGTAAAGTAGAGTAGGGTAGAGTAGAGTAGAGCAGAGTAGTGTAGAGTAGAGTAGAGTAGAGTAGAGTAGAGTAGAGTAGGGTAAAGTAGAGTAGAGTAGAGTAGAGTAGAGTAGAGTAGAGTAGAGTAGAGTAGAGCAGAGCTGGTGGAAACAGGGCTATAGTTCTTGGCCGCTCTCACACAAACACATCCTTCAGTGCAGTTCCTCACTTAAACAACAGCAGTGGATATAGTTCATAAATCTGCAGCAGAGACCAGGATTTTAATTGGATCCAGAAGGTAATCTCCCCCATATGGTAACGGCTGATCCCAGACCAGATAACACCAGCAAGAGACACGCACCAGTCTGACCAGGATTCACGGTTTTAATCAGAATTCGCATTCCAGAAATGATTGTCTTTGTGGCATCTATGAGGACCGTGCAATTAATCACAGTCTAATCATGGTTTGATCACAATGGTGTAATAATGTATATATCTTGTTAATGATATATTATATTTTTGACTAATTTAATCAGGAGGTTAAGTCTTAGAAAAAAAATATATATATATTTATATTTGTCAGTGATGCCGCATACAGAGCCCCCTGCTGGAGAGGTATGGTAACAGTAATGTTCTCTCCTGTACTGTCTCTGTCATCTCTGTTAGGACTTCAGCCGTAGTCTGTTCATTGCTATTCACCCGCTGTCCCACGGTCTGTTTCATGGCGTCATGATGGACTGTCTCAGTCTTGGATCTACAGCCTACAGTAAGTCCTGGATCTACAGCCTCAGTCCTGGATCTACAGCCTCAGTCCTGGATCTACAGCCTCAGTCCTGGATCTACAGCCTCAGTCCTGGGTCTACAGCCTCAGTCCTGCATCTACAGCCTCAGTCCTGGGTCTACAGCCTCAGTCCTGCATCTACAGCCTCAGTCCTGGGTCTACAGCCTCAGTCCTGGATCTACAGCCTCAGTCCTGGGTCTACAGCCTCAGTCCTGGATCTACAGCCTCAGTCCTGGGTCTACAGCCTCAGTTCTGCATCTACAGCCTCAGTCCTGGGTCTACAGCCTCAGTTCTGCATCTACAGCCTGAGTCCTGGGTCTACAGCCTCAGTCCTGGATCTACAGCCTCAGTCCTGGGTCTACAGCCTCAGTTCTGCATCTACAGCCTCAGTCCTGGGTCTACAGCCTCAGTCCTGGATCTACAGCCTCAGTCCTGGGTCTACAGCCTCAGTTCTGCATCTACAGCCTCAGTCCTGGGTCTACAGCCTCAGTCCTGGATCTACAGCCTCAGTCCTGGGTCTACAGCCTCAGTTCTGCATCTACAGCCTCAGTCCTGGGTCTACAGCCTCAGTTCTGCATCTACAGCCTCAGTTCTGGGTCTACAGCCTGAGTCCTGGGTCTACAGCCTCAGTCCTGGATCTACAGCCTCAGTCCTGGGTCTACAGCCTCAGTTCTGCATCTACAGCCTCAGTCCTGGGTCTACTGCCTCAGTCCTGGATCTACAGCCTCAGTCCTGGGTCTACAGCCTCAGTTCTGCATCTACAGCCTCAGTCCTGGGTCTACAGCCTCAGTCCTGGTTCCTCTCTGATGGAGCAGGGTCTAAAGCAGTGGTCATCCCGCTCCCTATGGACCGATGGCTCGTAAGTATTAGTTATTTTTGCATTTCCGGTGTTTGAACTGCTAGATTCACTGATCTGTTGTTGACAAATCAAATTTCGAGTCCTCCGAGGCGACTGCTGTAGTGATTTAGGGCCAAACGCAAATACGTTGAATCGAATTGAACATATTTTCTTTCTCTTTACCTCGAGGGCAGCCCGCTGTGAGCTAAACTGTTTATCAAACCTCACTTTTACAAGATTATCTCTGTAATTTCCCCCATTTTTAAAATCAGATCGCTATTTCAAGTCATTTCGCAGAGTGGAGACACACACACACACACACAGACACACACACACACACACACACACAGACACAGGACTGGGTTACCTTGCTGGAGGTTTTAGCCAGAATGTCCTGCAGCTCCATGATTTTCTGCACCAGGCCGTGGAAGTCATTACAGGTGGGACAGGCTGAAATAGGAACGCACAGAGTATAGGCTTCACTGTATCGCACTGAAAACGCCACCGTCGGCAAAAGGTTGTGTCCGGGGCGAGATAAGAACCGCCGCTAAACACACCCAGATTTAAATTACACGTGTGAAACTGTCAGGTGCCGTATGGAAGGCAATCAGGAGAAGCATAATGTGAAAGTGATAAGAGAGGAATGCTTTAGATGTGGAGGAGAAGTGGTAAATGTGAGAGTATACAGAGTTGTGTGTCAAATGCTGGTTTAAAATACATGTGTCCGGAGCAGATATACAGCCAGAGTTTATTAAATTGATGTTTCTCAACATCAATTTAATCCCCAACACCCAACCACAAATTAATATACCAAAGAGACTAAAAGTGCCACTCACATTCTTATAAATCCTTCACATATAAACAGATGTACATACACAACTGCACACACATGCACGCATACATACACTCTCGCACACCCTCTCCAAATAGATAAGTTAAAATCAGTTACTATTACTATTTATATATGAATTTAGGATCATTTATTTCCAAATATTTATTTATTTGTTTACTTACTTCCTCACGTCGCTGTTGTTGTTGTTATTGTCATTATTGTTATTATAATTGTTATTATAATTGTTATTATAATTATTATTATTTACATTTCCTCTCTCACTTAAATTGGATATCTGAACAAACTATACACATTATATCCAAGATTACAATCAGGTACTGGAAAAGAGAGGAAAGAAGGAAAGAAAAAGAATATATATAACGTTGTGTTTATAAAATAAATGAACAAATCAAATATATATAACATAGAGAACAACAGGGCAGACAAGAAGTGGGCCCGATGTGGGGTATCTCCCACCTCATCGGCCCCACAAATTTCTTGTTTTTTTAATGCACCTCACAGGACTGACAAGAGGACAAGCAGGGCCTGTTGAGTGAGCCCGTCTCGCAGCACGCTCTGCTTTTCATTATTATTATGATTTGTTTGTTTATTTTTGTTAATATTAATTATTGATTTATTATTATTGTTATTTATTCTACTATTATTATTTTTCACCAAAGCCCAGCAAGATAAAATTAGCAATGGGTAATGATTGTGGCAATGACGATGATAATAGTGATGATAATGTGTATATATATATAAACCCCTTTTTTTTTTTTTTTTTTTTTTTTTTTTTTTTTTTTTTTTTAGTAAAAATATATAGACTCATTTGACCACATTCGACATAGCACCTATGCACCCCTGCATTGCATACACATTCACATACATATACAGAAACTCCGCAAACCAAGGCTGAACTGAAACAATAAAAAACGCAACCCGAATAATTTTATTTTTTTTACTCTCCCCCTCCCCCCCCAACCCCTCCCACCTTAACACCTACTATATTTGTAAACCGTATATATTAGATTTAGAATATAATTTTGTTTTATTTCTTTCTCTTATGTTTTCATTCTTGTAATTGTATTAAAATGTAATAACGTTAATAAAAAAAAAAAACTAAAAAAAAAAAAAAAAAAAAAACGCGAAGTGGGCCCTGGCCCACTTAAACCAGGCTTTAGGCTGCGCATGTGACCGCAACCTCAAACACACATTCACTACAACACTCTGTATGACACACACCTTTTATTATAAAGAAAAAGAAAAAAAAACAAAAACAAAAATTACTAGTCTAGGTTGTGTATTCAGTTTGTATTATTTATTTACACACAATTAACTGCAGCATCTCCGGACTGACAGGCTGTGTGTTGGAGAATTGTGTTTAGCTGAGGAGAAAGGGTAATTAAATACGTAAGAGTTTAAATATGTGACAAAAAATTATACTTATACACAAAAAGGTGAGTTAGAAATGATGCACACACTCAGAGAGAGAGAGAGAGAGAGAGAGAGAGAGAGAGAGAGAGAGAGAGAGAGAGAGAGAGAGAGAGAGAGAGAGAGAGAGAGAGAGAGAGAGAGAGAGAGAGAGAGAGAGAGAGAGAGAGAGACACACAGAAAAAGAGAGACACTACATATCAACATTACATATACAGTATATTATGTTTGGTCCAGTTCCAGTGCTTTAGTCCAGGTTTAGTCAAGGTTTAGTCCAGGTTTAGTCCAGGTTTAGCCCAGTTAAAGGAGGGTGACTTACTTCTGTTGAGGTCGGGACACTGTGAGATGTAGCCCTGAGGCATCACCACCATCTCCACGTCCTGCATCACGCCCTGAAGGGGGAGAACAAGCAAATAAGGTCAGAGTAAGACTAAGATTAGAGGGATCTGCTAACACCACGATCAAAACACTCACACACTTATAACATAGTTTGAAAAAATATATACATTGGACACTAAACTCTTAAAAACATGTGTGAGGAAAGGGCTAACTTTATGAGCCAACATTAAGCTCCTTAGACAGGGTGAAGGTCTTCCTTCCGCCCTGAAGGAACTTATTTTCCGATAATGACCTGCGCACTATACGTTATCCCGCTTATTATACGGCTTTATACCAACAGAACACACAACATAAACTTCAGTCCACTTTTAGGAATGCCGAAAGGTTTATTTAATGAGAGAAAATAAAATACTTCCCAAAGGCTTTCCCGTGGCTATGCTAGCAACAGTTAGGCTGGCAACTTCCAAACTAGAACTCTCTGGAACTGCATGAAAACTGAACAAAGAATTCTGAACATCAGCAGTGAGTGACCCAAACATAAACCTAACCTAAATCCATAATTCGATCCTCTGCAAATGTGTCCGAAAATGTGCCGGTATCTACTTCCGGGTTTTTCGGGATCGCCTTTTCTCGCATTACGTCAGTGTTTTTGTCATGAAAACGTAAACGGAAAATTCTGAAAACTTCCGTGCACTTGTATTAAGACTGGATATGTATAAATTACTCTCCGATTAACATTTCATTGCGTTGATTGATTGGCATTTGCGTTTATTGAGCGGCCAGAACTACTTCCGGGTTTTTCACGATCGCTTTTTGACGCAGAGAAATAGTATTTTTGTCATGAAGACAAGACCAGAAAATTCTGAAAATGTCCGTGCACGTGTGTGAAGAATGTATAAGTATTCTCCGATTAACATTTAAGTGTGTTGATTGAGCGTGGCTAGCTCCGGAGTGGCCGGAACTACTTGCGGAGTTATCCACGCATTTGAAAGACAAGCAGAGAGTGCGTTGCCAAAGGGCAAGGTCATTATTGTTTTGAGAGGTCAGTTATAGAAAATAATGACCGGTAGAACGTTTTGAAATTACATTCAAATCTATGGAGCGTTCTCCTGCTGCTGTGAGGAGCCGTATAATATGTGTTTATAATATTTTGGGTGTTCATTTTGACATGTTCAGATGAATTTGAAGTGGCACCTTTTCACAAACGCTAGGGGGAGCCAAAATAGTGGCGATGACGTAGGAGAAGGGTATCTCACAGCAGCAGCAGCAGTCTGGGCTGAATCTGTAGGAGGTTTCACTGTCATCTGAACAAGGTATAAACATATTTTCATCCGTTTTGTACATAATAGTGTGCCACTCTTTTAACCTTGTAGCCTTATTTGTGAGATTCAAGCTAATTAGTGTTGGGCAAGTTAGCTAACTCTACTTGATATCATAAAACATGCTAACAAGGCTAATATTCGTTTTTACATTATGCCAGTCTCACTTTGGTTGCCTTAGATTTATTTACCACAATGTACATTGTAATATCCATAAATGCTAATCAAAATAACTTGAATTAAATAAATATTTTAAAACAAAAAGCAGCAGAAGTTGAAAACATAGACTACATGTGATGCAATCATTGATCAAAATGATAATTAAACCGTTAATAGGTGTCAGCATTTATGGATATTACAATGTACATTGTGGTAAATAAATCTAAGGCAAAGTGAGACTGGCATAATGTAAAAACGAATATTAGCCTTGTTAGCATGTTTTATGATATCAAGTAGAGTTAGCTAACTTTCCCAACACTAATTAGCTTGAATCTCACAAATAAGGCTACAAGGTTAAAAGAGTTGCACACTATTATGTACAAAACGGATGTAAATATGTTTAGACCTTGTTCAGATGACAGTGAAACCTCCTACAGTTTCAGCCCAGACTGATGCTGCTGCTGTGAGAGGTCATTCTCCTACGTCAGGGGTGCTCAATACGTCGATCGCGATCTACCAGTCGATCGCAAAGGTAGTATTGGTAGATCGCATTAAATAAATAAAAAATTACACATTCTAAACGAATATATACAAAAAACTCCGGGCAAAGTGGAGATTTTTGAAAACTCCGTTAATGCATTTGTGTGTAGACAGAGATAACCGGAGTTTTGCGTTCTCGCACGCCACAGTACCCCCCTAAATTCCTCTGATCACTGAAGCATGGATCATACTACCTTAAAAACTGTTCACTGTGAGATGCTCGCAGCAGCGAACACCCTCCACATCAGAGAGCAGCAAAGTGATGGCGGGGACTCACGCTCGAAAACAACCAAACCAGGACTAAACCAGGACTAAACCAGGACTAAACCAGGGCTGAGGACGGGGTCAGTGCTTGTAAACATACGTCTTTACTCTGAGTGTCTTCTATGACTGTAAAAGTGCCGTTACCGGCATCTGCATCAAAGCTCCGCCCACTTCTGTGTTTTTCCCCAACGCAGGACAGGACGTAAGAGACGCACATGTTTGGAATGTTACAAATGTGATTGATAACGCAGATATGTGGATGCAAATTATTTTATAAACTGAGGAGGGGAAATATTTGGATTTAAAAAAACCAGGCATGGCACATGGACATGGCACCACAGTCAAATGACATCTGTGTTTTACTCAGTAATGTTTTACTGACACTTAGGTGACTGCACATGCGCAAACAACCGCGCTCAGTGCAGGAAAGCTAAACCACGACAAACTTGCCAGCGAGTTACCACCAATTTTCCGGACTATGCATCCCTGGCCGATTCAATTCAGTGAAAGTCATAAGAGTAAACTCGGGTAATGACAGAAAATGTACATAGGTAATTGTGTTGTGTTGTGCTATATTGGCTCATGCGGTTTTGCATGTACATAAACATACATTGTAGGTATAAAGAATATTTTTTGAAATAAATATGTGATTTGCATTTTTGTAGTAGGTAGATCATTTTGACTTGATCCTTTTATAAGTAGCTCGCATGCTGAAAAAGTGTGAGCACCCCTGTCCTACGTCATCGCCGTAATTTAATTTATATTAAATTGACATATAAAATTAAATATATTTATGTCAAAATGAACACCCGAAATATTATAAACACATATTGTAGTTATATATTCTGGATAGCAGCATATTAAATTCTAGTACTAATTTAAGCTAACGTTTTTGCGAGCTGTGCGTGTGTTGTTATGGTGACGCTCAGGCGAAGTGATACTGAATCAGTGATGTAATCCGTGTTGGGGAATAACGCGGTAAAAAGTTATGTAATTACAGTAATGTATTGCTTTTGCTGTAACACGGTAATGAAAGGCCTTCCCCCCCCAAAAAACTGTAATAATTTGCTCTGTGTGTGAGAGTTAAGTGTGTGACATATTTAAGATTCTCCGGCAAAATATAAAGTTGTTCGCGGCAGAAGGACACAAAATATTTGTCTCTTGTCAAAACATTCTCTGCTCTGCTTTTACCATAAACTGTATTCATCGCCTGTTTGTTCCTCCAGACAGACAGAAACAACAGAAAACAGATTCAATTCACCTCAATGATTATCAAATGAAAGATATTCTTACATCGCCATTGTTACGGTTTGGTCCTAGATTGAGAAAATAATGATCAGAGAGAAACCAGAGATAAAAACCAGGGAGAGACCACAGAGAGACCAGGTAAACAAGAGAGAGACACTAGAAAGAGATACCAGAGAGACGGACCAGAGAGAGACCAAGGGACCAGGTAACAAGAGAGGCCAGAGAGAGACATCCGAGAGAAAAACCACGAGAGGCCAGAGAGAGACGAGAGAGAGACCAGGTAAAAAAAGGAGAAACACTAGAAAGAGACCAGAGAGACGGACCAGAGAGAGACCAGAGGGACCAGGTAAACAAGAGAGAGACTGAAGAAAGAGAGCAGAGAGAGCCAAAGAGACAAATCAGAGAGAGACACCATAGAGAAAGACCGGAGAGACCAGGTAAACAAGAGAGACACACAAGAAAGAGAGACCAGAGAGAGAGACATCTGAGAGAATGACCAAGGAGAGTCCACAGAGAGACCAGGTAAAAAAAGGGAGAGACACTAGAAAGAGAGACAAGAGAGAGACCAGGTAAACAAGAGAGAGACCAAAGAAAGAGAGACCAGAGAGAGACACAAGAGGGAGACACCAGAAAGAAAGACCAGAGAGACCAGGTAAACAAGAGAGAGATACCAGAGAGAGACACAAGAGGGAGACACCAGAAAGAAAGACCAGAGAGACCAGGTAAACAAGAGAGAGATACCAGAGAGAGACACAAGATAGAGACACCAGAGAGAAAGACCAGAGAGACCAAGTGAACAAGAGAGAGACACCAGTGAGAGAGAGTACACTTTTTTACATCACCATTGTTAAAGTCTGGTCTTGGATGGAGAAAATAACGGCCTTTTTCAACCCTGTCCTTGTTTAAAGTGTATAAAATCCTCTTGTCTGTCTCCACCTGGTTGTTGTGCTAACTGGTCCTGTTCTAAACCCCGCTTTCTCGCCTCCCACACACGGCGGAGCAGCGGAGGATAAATTGTTTTTAAATTGTCTTGCCACTTCAATTTTCCGAGCATAGATTTTAAAAAGCGACAGAAAATGTGTGTTGATTTTTCTCTGGCGCCGGAGCTCAAATTGAGGCAGAAAACAGCGGCGTCGATCAGAGCTGGTTATGGAAGATATTTACAGTCATCAAGTGCTATGTCTGTCTGTGCACTGCTATGCTAGCTCCGGGATTGTGTCCCTGTGTTTCTATGTCTGTGCACTGCTATGCTAGCTCTGGGATTGTCACTCTGTGTTTCTATGTCTGTGCACTGCTATGCTAGCTCCGGGAATGTGTCTCCGTGTTTCTATGTCTGCTCTAAATGTAAGTAGTACCTTTTTTCCCCTGGAAGTGCTCTCCCTAAAGCAGGAGTGTCCAAACTTTTACCTAAGAGGGGCCACCTTAGTTCTCCACACTTCTCCAGGGGCCAAAAACACGGATTGTAAAACTATTTTGACAAGAATTGGTCTATTTTGAGATGCTAAATGAGGAATAACATGATG